ACGCGTGCACGCACGCACGCACGCACGCACGCACGCACGAACGCACGCACGCACGCACGCACGCACGCACGCACGCACGCACGCACGCACGCACGCACGCACACGCAGTATAAAACACTATAACACACTCACTGACAGACGCTAGCATGCAAGCACATAAACATGCAGCGAACGTACTGTAAACGAACACATCAGCCTTTTCCCTTCTGAGCTATTCGGCCGCTTACACCGCAGACACGCGTGTTAGCGTGCATTACACGTGTTGAAGTGACGCGCGAGATTTATGATAGAGCTCAATCGCGCTCTTTTGCCCACTTCCTCTCCGTTTGTGTCTCTGACCGTGTAATCGCTACGAAAATGATACCGTATCCGTTCCGGGTACAAAAAAACAACAACAACAGAACGACATGTAAACATTGAAGATTGCGACTGACTTAACGGGCTGGTATGAACCACTGGCACCTGGGGCAGAGTCAATAACAAACTAAAAATCCTAATAATATGAACGTGGCACATTCACAAGAACTACCCGTTTATTACACTTCCACTAGCGTTGTGTCACTGTATATCGGACTTGCTTTCACAAAAACTGATGTAGGACTAGCCGCTCCCGCCACTCGGCGTTGCGGATGTGCCGTGTCGTACTATATATATCTCTTTGCGAAAGCAAGTCGATATACAGTGACAAAATTCTAGTGGAAGTGCAAGAAACGGGTAGTTTTTGTGAATGTGCCGCGTTCATAATATTTTCAGTTTTTAATGACTCTGTGCCAAGTGCCTGTGGTATATGAACCACTGGGAGGACGCAACATTGCCACCATACATAGGTCGCGATGCGTTCAAACGCGTAGTCGGAAATATATACGTTCTAGTTTTCGGAGCACAACACTCGCGTTTTTACCCGCGCAGTACGCGGAGGTTTACTCAGTTTGCAGAAAGCAAGTAACAGGATCTCACTAAGCGAACCCTCCCACCCCACCACGACCTATCTAAGCGAACCCTCTCAGCAGCAGCATCCCCCCTCGCTGCGCGTACTCACCTTGCCAGACGTCTTGATTCCCTTCCATATGCAGAAATAGCAGATGACCCAAGCGAGCACGAGGCAGAGCGCCAAGTCCCATTGGATGGCGCCCGGATACTCGATCCCTTGCGACAGTCGCAACACCTTGTACCTACAAGCAATCAGTGCGGGGGTCAGCGCAACGGGTCACATGGTAGCAGTGGAATCACCGGTCCAGCGAGCGAGTGGTCCAACGTGCAGCGGTGTGTGTGCAGATGGAGACAGACGCGGCGAAGACACTCCGGACAATGTCCACCCGGAGAACCGGTCATTCCCGACGTCATAGATATATATATGCAAGCGTTTTCTTCGATCTCACGCGGATTGCCATGCTCGTGTGTGTGTGTGTGTGTGTGTGTGTGTGTGTGTGTGTGTGTGTGTGGGGAGGGGGGGTATATATCACGACGAACGGAGACACCACCAAGTACACTCGCCCCCCGAACAACCCACCACCAACAACAAAAGTGACAACCCTTCGCTACTCGTTCGCACACATATCTCGTACTGCATGTACTGTCCCCTACAGTCTGTCCATTGAGTCGTCCTGAACGCGCAAGGGGGTTCGATTGGGTGGAGGTTGATAGGGTGGGGGTTGACATGGTGGGGGTTGGTTGGATGGGGTTTGACATGGTGGGGGTTGGTAGGGTGGGGGTTGACATGGTGGGGGTTGGTAGGATGGGGTTTGACATGATGGGGGTTGGTAGGGTGGGGCTTGACATGGTGGGGGTTGGTAGGATGTGGGTTGGTAGGGTGGGGCTTGACATGGTGGGGGTTGGTAGGGTGAGGGTTGACAGGGTGGAAATCGATAGAGTATGGGTCGATAGAGTGAGATGGGGGTTGATAGGATGGGGGTTGATAGGGTGGGGTGCCGTGAGAAAAAATAACAGGTGATAACACGTGACAGGAGAGAACACTGCGTTCGTACGCATACGTCACGTCCGGCGGTGAGCGCCACCTAGCGTCCGTATGTCACCGCGATTATCAAGCTCATAGTTTAGCGAGCAAACTGCAGTTAGGAACAAACGTCACCGTATTAGCTGGACAGCACATACGCACACGTAGTACATAGAAGCTTCCCATTATAGCATCAATATTATATATATTTTTACTGATTTATACCGATCGGCCCTCGCCTATACGCCCTAATAATGTTATTATCATTACTCGGTATTTGTGGATTTGTCATTGCACTGCTAGCATCAACTGCGCGCTCCTACGCTACGAATAGTTTACGAAAAACCTCATCTTTGCTGATCACTTAGATTGCTTTTCGCGGCCACCTCATTGCGTATAATAGTTCTGCGGAGTTAATCAGCCTCGGTAAGCTACGTACCCGATTCGTTACCCACGTTATTTTAAAACGGATGTTTAACTTCTTAATTAAAGTTTCTTTTCTTTTTTAAATAGGTCAAATGGAGTTTGAGAACGCAGAACAACAAATAATTGTGGCGTGCATATATCGCGACGAAAACAAACAAAAAATCTCAGATACGTCAGTGATTTCTTGGCACGATTTCTATTTTAGTTTTCCTGTAGCAAGTGCAGAGTTAAAAAAAAACACGCGATGTTATTCCACGCAGCGATCGCTCGACCTCGCGTATAATATGCTGACAAAAATAATATTTAAAAAGCGCATGTTACGCCAGCAAATGTTTCGCCTGCGCACTTTACACACTGCTACATGCTGAAAGTAGCTTACTACGCAACAGTCCTGCTGCCTACACGCGTAAGAAATAAAAACTCGATTTGAGAAAAGTGCGCGGTCATTTCTTCGTCGACAGTTCGAAGCTCAAACAAAAACAAGTTCAAAGCTCGCTTCTCCGAGTGAAGTTAATTACTCGCTGGAACACGCGCCACAACTCGCGGCGCTTCGAGAGAGCGATAATGAGATAAAACAACATGGCTGCCGGATAATCAGCTACATCTCAACTTATATTCCCTATTTTTTTGGAAGGGGGGGGGGTAAATTCGCACTTTTAAACTAGGAGCGCTTGTCTATCACACAATGACCTGCTCGTTCAAATCTACGTGTATCCGTTTCTGTTTTCGGTGGAACACGATACGATCACAGGCACTTGCAGCGTTTAAATAAAATATAATGCTAAATAAATACGAAATTTATTTACTACCAAAGTCTTAATGTTTCCATACTCTCTTTCACCTATTATTGCCGACAATTTCCTGCAAATGCCGTCCAAATGCTCATCTGCAACAAACGCTGGCTGTCGCCATGGCTGCCGCTGCACACTTACCTGATTCATCATCGTCATCCAGCACATGACGTATGATGCTATAGTGCATCACTTACCGGCTTAATTATTTATGATATTGCACTAGATAGAATACACAAGAGCCGCAGAGCGTCGGGGCTCATCTGAGGTCTGTTACTACGGTTATAAACGTAACATTTAAGTCGTGCGTAGTGACAC